TTTTATTGTATCGTTCTAGTGTACCGGTATTCTTCCTGACTCGGTTTGGACAAGATCATCTCTTGAAAAAAAAACAAGCGACTTATCCTTGTATTAATTTCCCGTACATGTACAAACCTATCTATTTTCATTGCTTCTAATTTCCTTCGTCCGATATTCGAAGTTCAATTATCATCAAAAGCTGTGTTCTGAATAATTGTTTTTACGAGGCAACACGTTTCTCTGACGAGACCATACAACCGGAATTAGATGACGGATTGAACTGCACTCTATTCTTGTTCAATAATGTTCGCCTCACTGCACACTGTACAGGACCGACAGCTCTGTCAGTCCTGTACAGTGTACGCTGTGCAGGCTTTTTTTCGCTCTGCCAGTCCTGTACAGTGTACGCTGTGCAGGCTTTTTTCGCTCTGCCAGTCCTGTACACTGAACGCTGTACACTGTACAGTGCACAGCTCCATGTCCCTCGCGTTCTTCTCTCCGCAGCGCGTCGTACGGAAGTCTCCGCGGCACTTGACTGATCTTCTCGCGACCTCGCGCTGCTGCTACGCTCTGTGATCGCGAGCGAGGTTAGCCGCCGTGTTGATGAATCGCGCCGCTGGTCTCGACACGATATGTCGTTATTTTTACAAAGCGGGGCTGCGAACTACTCCCATTTATTAGAATTGTTGCGATCGAGGTTGCATTGTCTATTTATTTTGATCTCTCCGCACTCTGGTTTCAGAATTAATGAATAAAGAGCATATAGTTGCTGCGCTATTCAAACGAATGCCACTAAGTGCGTCGTCGCCAGCGAATATTGGAATACGTATAAAAAATATTTCATACAACCTAACTCGCCGTCGTCGGTCACTCAATTTTCGGCGCTGACACGACACATTAAAATTGAATCGTTGATTGGGTTGCGTGAGCCTCGCCTGGTTGTGGTGAAGCAGGCGAGCGGCCGTCATGATGGACGCTGTTTTGTTCGTCTGTGTCGTGAGGCATGCTGCTTCATGCCTCATCAGCGTGTTGGGCTTCATTGTGAAATGAAGCTTCATAAAAAATATAATGATAACTTGAAATAATTCAGGAGACACAGGTTGTATGTAAAATACATTATTACATACATACATCCCGATTATTTTAAGCTATACTTCGAGTAATAGATATTTCTATAATTTATTATTGTCTATAAATAGTATAAAGTTTACGACCCTGACAGTGAAGCTCTGAGCTGCGCTCCTTTTGCGCAGTCAAAGTCAATGGAAAATGGACTGTCAATGGAAAAGTCAAATGGAAAATATAAAAAAAGTATTCAATTTTATCACATTTCTTATTGATGTAGTGCGCTCTATTACTCTGCATCGGCCCATTTAGTGTTGTTGTTCTGCTGGAGCTCCAGAGATATTGACTTTTTCTCTTCCAGCAGTTGTGCAGAATGAAACTGGTACATTCTGCTATACGTGCAGTGATGCCAGTTGTAGCTACAGTTATACCAGTGTATACCTACAGCTACCAGTGTAGGTATACTGTTATACCTACAGGTATAACAGTGGCAGCTAGATTCATAACCGTTTCATCTACATTCATACCCATTGTAACTACGTTCATACCCGTTGCAGCTACAGCTATACCAGTTAAAATCACGTAGAAGCCAAATTTAACGCTCTTTTGTCACTCCGGACTGATGTTATAAGACCTGCAGATGCTGTCAAAGTTCCTGCAATTTCGGTTCGTTGGAGTGCGGACCGGAATGTCTGGCGCACTCGACCTGAATCCGCAATCGGAGTCCCGCTTCGGAGAGACTCTTTAACCGCCCAACGCGGCGTCCAATCCAGACTGCTCGGAATTTTGCAGTGAAAACTACGATGGTTTTAACCGCATTAATTGTTGGGATTGTAGTTATTTTCCTGTCTCATTTTATTGCTTTACTACGTTCGTGCTAATAGCTGCGGAATTTATTGACGTTATGTGTAGCTATTGCTCTGCAGATCGTTTTTTTTTCTCTCATGGCAGTTAAATATTTAGTACTTTTCTTCTTACTTTCTTTCTTAGATTGATGCGAAGCTTGATGTACTTTCTTAGATTGATGCGAAGCTTGTCTAACTTATCTTTTCAGAGCCTTAAATTTCTTTTATTTCTTGGCAGTTGTCTCCATCAATCATTTTTATATACCATTCTCCATCTTTATTCCTATGCTATGTGATCAAATGATTCAACATCCATCTGTAAAAATATTTAACTGCACTAACTGTTTAAAGACTACTAGAATTTTAGTCTTAATATCTCTTGCGTTCAGTATATTTCTAAATGTATTTTTAAATTTTTCTTTTATAATGAGAAATCGCCTCCTGATCATGACATAATGTCGAAGATAAACGTTTATTTGACTCGAATGAACGCTGTAAGAGCTCGTCTCCTCATTTTTGGTATATTTTCTGTTAATTAATATGTCCTCGGAAACGCGTAAATAAGTTTAGGTTGCAATTTTCGGCACTCAGGTAAGACTATCTAGGAGCGGTGCTTTTGACCAGTAGCTGCTACAGAAGGTCAGGTCACTGCAGCTGTTTATATATAGATGCCTCAGCACGTATTTTACCCTATAATGAGTGCAGCTGCACGCGAGCATGTCCCTTATTTAAAATTAAGGCAGGATCATGCGCGGCCAATCGGTGGCAGGTGGTCGGCCAGCCATGATTCGAGTCTGGTATCTGTGATACCTGAGGAGCCTGCTGGACCCTGCGTCCTTTTTTAACCGAAGATCTCGCACGCAATTTTCCATGCGTCGGTCGACCAACTTTGTCATTTTGTTCTTTTATTTTCCACGGAACATTTCTAGGCCTTCCCGCTTTTATATAGAGCTGGAACAAATAAATAACTTGATAAAATTAAACTGATTTTCAACGTGCGTGCAACACTGAAAGGCCTTAAATAATAACTAACCCTGATGAACTTTCCTAAATAATTCGTTGATATGAGCGCTCTAACCTCTGCAGCAGGTGGTGTGTGTGGGGGGACTGCTTAATTTTATAGCGTTGTCTGCTCTTCATTTGTTATGAGCACCTCTGAATATTTTAACAGGTGCGTTCCCTCACTAAAATGTGATGCTGCCACTGTCGTTCTTCAACTATACCTATATTGGACTCGGATGAGAATCGAATAATTTTTGAGTTCATGAAAGAGTTACATCTGACGATTTTTGGGTGGCTTATAATTTACTATTCTTTCAATAATTCGAATCTTAACTTCTATTTTGAAAATATGTTTCGTGGGAAACCATGATTTGAAGTATTGCGAGTCTAGTTAACGTTACTTACATTGTCATGTTTTTTAGTTTTATTTCCATATCTACTATTGGTCATTCTCATTAACCATATTTTTTAGGAAGGAATTGTAAAAGTTTTCCGAATTCGTAAAGATATGGTTAAAACAACTAGTTTCATTTTGATTTGTCACTCCTTGTAAATTATAGAGCGACACAGCGTAAAAAGCTGAGCTTTATAATTCCCGAATTTAATATAATTCCGCTGGCTGTATGGCTGGTGAAGTTCAATTAATTATTAATTTATTTGTTATGAGAATCCTTCCTCCCGCAGTCGTAAAATTTGCCGTCATGCTTTCCAAAGCCGCTGCCTTATTTTCCGGATGGATAATTCTGAGCTGCCGTCAGGAATAAATCATCGTGAGCGCCTGTCGAGCATTGACGGACGCGAGAAGCAACTTGGACAAATTGCGTCGACTTGTGATTGGTTTTGGACCTCCCCTATTTCCAGGAGCTTCCCCCCCTCATTCTAGGAGCTGCCTCCCCCCCGGTACCCTAGCGTGTTGGGACTAGTTTCTCAAGCAGAACGCGCGGTTCTAAATTGACTTTGTAGATTCGGTTTCGAAATCTATTGGCTAAAATCTTTTCAGAAATGATCTTCTTTGTATGTTTTGTTAGGTTTTGGGATCTCTCACTGATTTTAGAACGTAAAACAATATTATTTCCAGTCCAGTATACGGGGGAAGTTTTAAAGTTTTGTTCCTTATTTATGACGGTTTGAGAAGACCGTTCGACTGAAAATTTTTTGTTTCACTCGTAAGGAACTTCTCAGCATGCAATATTTGAATAATGAATAGATCTTTTCCAACGGATATATTTATTATGGGTGCGTATATAAGTGTTCTGTTAAAAATTTAATATGAATACGAACTTTTTTTGATTGATCTCTGCTGACAGTATTTGCTTGACTTTTATTCCTTCGCTCATTTCCAATCTGAGGGTTTGTCGTAATTATGAATGCAAATGTTTGATTTCTTTCTGCATTGCTGGTACCGAAGATAAAAGCTGTCATCGCAAGAAGTGAACCTTTAAAATGAAGTAACAAAAACCCTTCCCGGAGCACTGGTTCTTCGGAAAGAAATCAAAAACAAATTAGTTATTAGCCAATAATTGAAAAATAGTTAGCCAATAATTATAAATAATTATAAAATCAGTTATCGTGCAGTCACTAAACGCACTTTAAAACGGCCGTTCGCCGCCTGTTCAGCCCAACACCCTTCTGAATCATAGCAAATTAAAGTCTGCCAAGCATCACATGGACTGCCAACTTCTCTCGAATTCCTTTAACTTTTTAAACTTGGTGGAGAACTTCTGCTTTGAACTGGCAACTTTAGACAATTTAAATCTTATGAGGTTATTATTTGGCTTTCACGTGGATTATTTAGTCTCGCGAAGTCTGGCATGGAGTTTTAAACTCGAGATGTCATCAGCGAGATCAGCGATAGTTGACCAGAAGTGTAGGGAGATGGTAATGATCGGCACTCTGGCCGCTACGTTACTTTTGAATTTTCATCGTGGTGTTAAGAACAATTGGAGTGTCCCTAGCTAACGTAATTAATTAATACATTATTTTTGTAATGATTTATTAAGCTGGCATCGCCACAATTTTTTTAACAGATTGCAGTCAACCACATCCATTTTAGCAAGTATTATGAAAGAATAATTAAATTCTAATTGTAAAAATTCTTACTTTCAGAACGGATAAATGATACCGCAAGGTGGCACCTGCACGTTCACAGCGACTCCGTCTCTCCAGTGCAAGTTTTGGAATCTTGCAAAATTATTCCCCAGCAAAAAATTATTCCACTGAACATCATTATTAATCCTGTAGAAATCTAGTCTTAATATTAAGCCTGACTTGTCGGCTCAAACTATCGCTCCTACCGTTAGCTGCACTTCGTCAGATTTTTATTGATGAATAGGTTAAAGGATTTTTCGACCTTGCAATATCGACCACTGCGGATCTACTTTTTGCGGATCTACGGATAGAACGTATCCTGGGTTAGAAGTATCTGATGTATTGAGCTTTTCCTAATCGATCATTGAACATAGAACATTGAACTGCGTGACCTCCTATTGAATTCTGAAGAAGAAACCGTATAGGTTTTATTATTTTCAAAGTCCCGAGCATATCTATTGTGTTCGTTCCAGTCCCGAGAAGCGACTCGTATGCTAGTGAAATATTCCAGTATCTGCCGCAGTAGCAAAGCTGGAGCGCTGAGCGCACTAACTTGTGGGAGGATATTCCTTACAATCTTTCCTGAGCAAACGCGCTTTGTGATGATACTTTTGTGTTTAACTATAAATTGAAGAAGCTAAACGAGTTCAAAGGAGTTGCTTTGATGCAGCGTTTGTGCAACAGAATACAAAGAATTTAATTTGCTGGGAGATATTACGTGGAATTAAGAGTATCTGAGACTGAAGAGTTTAGTTCACAATATCTGTTGTGATTATTTACTTTTCCTACAACTGTGATTGATAAGATCGGACGAAGTGAAGTGACGTAGTTCCAGAAAAAGATAAAGCAAATACATATACCTAAATACTTAGGATATCATTCCTTTTTTGAATTTACGAAGAAGTAATCTCAGTGATAGATAGATTACCTTGAACATCCCAAGGAAAGTTCAAAGCTGCTCGGCCCGACTCACCGTGCGCACGCCAGCAGAAAACGATGCAAGAGCTCGTGGAGAGCGGCGGTGACTTGTCCTGGGTTCCGCCACAGCAAATGTTGAGCGCATTCTGTCCATCAGCGGACTGTCCTGAGGAGATGATGAGGACTTCTCCGTCCATCAACGCCTTCACCAACACCACCACGTCCGCCAGACCACTGCCGGACCCGGCCCACTGCGTGCAGCAGCTGCGGGCTCTCCTGCCTTCGCGTCCCGATATCGGTGAGATCTAATATTATAATTAATTAAAATTAATTAATAATAATATTAGTTATTTACTACAGCCGTTACTATTACTATTTATTATTTTACTTTACTATTACTTTTTAATATTTACTATTTTATTTTACTATTTACTTTTACTATTAATTATTTTACTATAGCCGTTACTGAATATGGACGTAAATTTTTTTAGTTTTTAATAGACACTACAGCGATGTGCCGATATTAACGAGATGTAATATTAATTGATAAACAATACCGTACTCCTAAGCCCATTAATAAATATGAAAGTAATTCTTTTCTAGTTTTAAGTTGGCGACACATTAGCGATGCACCGATATCTGAGAGACGTGCTATTAATAAAATATTATTAGATCTTTCCTGGTACCCATTACTGCAGTGGCTGGCCATTTGAGTTCAATTTTAAGGAGAAACAACGATGCAATAACGTATGTATATAATCGTATATCCATGCGTAATCATCGCAGTAGGAAAGCAGTTTTGCAAACATGAAATTATCATTATTATTGGTTCACCAGTGGGGACAATGATTCGAGTAACCGCATTATTTCAGTTTAAATATAGGCAGCGGATTTAAGAGATATATGTATATTCCTGAACAATACTTACACTGAGAAAAGTTCGCGTTGATTTGCCTCACTTGCTTCTGGCAGTTCGGTGACAGTTTCTTTTTCCGCCAGGCTTCCTTAGGACAGACTCGGATTTTTTGCTCCGTTTTCTGAAAGTTCGGAACTTCCAAGTTGGCGCTGCGTTCCAACTTTTGTGTGGCTATTACAGCTACCGCCAGAGGGAGCGTGAGCTCTTCAAGGTGAGGACAGCCTGCATGCAAACTATGGTAGGCTTTTCGCCGGCCAGCGACACATGAGTGGCAACTGTTGCGTGTCAAGCTTCTTAGCAATTTATTTTACGATTTCGAGATAGTAAGTTAAGAAAGATGTGCATTTATTCTACAGCGCGCTGTTTCTTCCTCGAGGCGATCCGTTTTTATCTTTTGTAAATAATTTGGTTTTGTTTGTTTTAATATATTCTTTCAGCCCATTTCTACTTTCATATGCTAGTTATTTGTGTGTGTAATCGTGAGCTCTTGCTTATTCTGAGTTCGCATTTGTCAGATTTGTGCCTCTAACGTACAAATGTGTTCTACGTTTGAAAGTTTTCATGATGGCGAACTGTCCCGGGGGACTAAAAATGCGAAGCAATCTTTTCGTAAAAATCGCTATCAATAGCTAAAATAAATAAGGTATTTTCGTTTTAAGAATCGTTTCGGATTAACCAGACAATTAATAGTACGTGGAGTCTGCCTTTTTAGGGTGTATCTTTTATTGCCTATTATTGCTATTAATTTGAAAATGCTGAGCTTACTGCTAGTTTCGGCAGAATTGGTTGGACTTGTTAACGTGCATTTGATTTATCGTTATTGAGGCTTTCACCTTAAATGGATTTTGTTTATCGTATTGAATTTAATTTTACTTGGGGTTCCTTGAGTGGGTCGCTCGCTGGCATTGCTAACCCGAGGGCAAGACTGAAATTTCGTTCCGAAATTCGGGCTCAATTTCTTGATTACATGAGGAATTTATTCAAGTATATTGACCAATTTAGGATCAATCTTACCGTATTGGTTGAACATTTTTTGACTCGATTTCTTGAAAAGAATAGGCATTTCGTTTATGCACGCAGTCGCGTTTAGGCCATTAGTTCAATCACTGGTAACAAAGTGAGGATTTTAGAAAATATAAGCTTGAGCAGCTAAAAAATTGATCAGGATTTTATGAAAAACAGTATCTTGAAACCTTGCTGTGGATAATGCCTCTTATCACAAAATGAAAACATTCCTTCCTAGGTATGTAGGTATAAATTTTATACATTTCCCGGAACGAAGGTATGATTCCGGACAATAATTGTGTCTTGGACATTTTGAAACGTTACGAGATAGATGAATATAAAACAATGCATGTTACAAAAATTCGAGATATTCCAGTACAATACATCACATTCACTCCAGCCGATCTAAGGAAATACGGGTGAAATCCTTGATAACAAATCGGCAGTTGGAAAGATTTGATGACATTTTGCTTCCTACACGACTTACAAGTTAAGTGTGGCTGGCAGAGTAATTTTCCATTTGAAATTTTCAACGCAACATGTATGATGCACTCTAAATTAATCGCGACAATGACTGACCGTACGAGTTAAATACGCGTTTCAAATGTCGTAATGGCATCAGCTTTTCGTGCTGCTTGAAATTCGCTACTGCTATAAATGTTTAAAACACACGAAATGCTGTTGGAAAAAACATTTCAGAGAATAATTATATAAATTCCACCTTAAGGATTATTTGGCATGTCTCATAATGTATCGGTATGTCCCGTTTATGTGATGCACTTTCCTGGAAATTGTCCAGTCCGGGACGTATTGTTCCCGGGAACGGACAATTACGTACGTTCCGGATTTCCTCTGAAAGCGGAAATTATCTCGATTTTTATCTCCAATCGAGACTCCTCGTCTCTTCTTAAAAAAATTAATAAGAAATAAAAACTTCTTAACCTCATGCGCGTTACTATGTAAGTGTCTCCAGCAACGGGGAATTTATCGTTCACTATCTCGTTCACTAATTTACCTTCTAATAATTTTTTAATAAACATTTATTACACATCTTTTACTCCTATGCACCTATATACGTATTAATAATTTTTCCTTGCCATTTCGGTTATTGGCCTTGAAAATTATGGTTGGTATCTACCGTCTACACATGTCGCATAAATATTTTTCATAAATTGATACTAATATGCAGTCGATTACTGTCAAATGGACCGCTCCGGAAGCGTTCTAATACACGTTTCAATTTCTTCGGGACTTCTCTAATAAGAAGAGGCTGGGCTTATATTGACAACAGGTTCGAGCGACTGTATATTCACTCAGTGCATTCGCAAAGCGCTTTTACACGGGGACAGTAGTAGCGGCTCTACTATTTTCAAATGCTAACTGTGACTGATTTTCATACTGAAAGCGCCTATACACCAGGACAATTTCACAACACCTAGTGGCAGTTATTACTTAGAAGTAGTACTGGCCGCCACTACTGTCTTCGTGTACAAACACAGAACTTCACTGCCTTGACTACAGGTGACGCTGGGAGGGGCGGGGGTGCGCGCGTGCCTGCAGGACGGCGCTGTGGGTGTGCTGCCTGAGCGCGACTCAAGCGGCTCTCCGGTGCTGGTCGTCCTCGCCTCCAACTGCGACCCCGTCAAGTGAGACCGAGGCTTCCTTGTAATTTATTTCTCACTCCCTAATTTAATTTTTATTCCTTTCTTATTTTAGATCTTGCCAGGATCAGCAATCAATCGTTTTGCATGGGTTCATGTTAAAAAGACTCGCGTTTTAACGAGTTGTTTCTAGGAGACATGAGAAGTATGTTAGCGATATAGAGTTAAAGTTAAATAAAAACACTTGAGAGATCTGTGATTTTAAGCAATGGTCAGTTTTTCTTCCAGAATGAGTTTCAAATGAATCCTTGTTCATTCCATAAAATAAATGATTACGTTAAAAAGTATATTGTTTATATTAAAGAAATTCTAAAAGCACCTGCTTAGCAGATCCAAAAATGTCACTCCTCATATTTTCCGAGATTCCTCTTTCGCGGACGACCTTGAAGAAGCGTTGTGCTGCATAGTGAATTTAGTGCCTGTGCCTCTCTGCATGGTTCGTGTTTGTTCAGACTAATGTACATAGATCGTTCAGACTACCGTGGAGAGATGGTTCAGATAAACTAACGTGGATAGATGGTTCAGACTAACGTAAAGAGGTGGTTCAAACTAACGTGGAGAGATGGTTCAGCTTCAGACTAACGTGAAGTTAGTCTGGTTCAGACTAACGTAAAGATGGTTCAGACTAACGTGGAGAGATGGTTCAGACTAACGTGGAGAGATGGTTCAGACAAACGCGGAGAGATGGTTCAGACAAACGTAGAGAGATGGTTCAGACTAGATTACAGAGATGGTTCAAACCACATTGCGTACAGAGATGGCTCAGACCGTTCAGAGTACCGCACAGAACTGGTTCAGACAGTTCAGAGTGCCGCACAGAACTGGTCCCGTATAAGATACAGAGACTACAGCGCTTGCCTCCACCAGGTGCGGGCTGGCTGACGTGTGGGGCGCAGTGCTGCTCAGTCTAGAGAAGCTGTCGGCGCGGGGGGAGGAGGCGGGGCTGCTGTGTGTCGTAGACTGGTCCGAGTGTCCCGCGCGACTCAACGCTGAGCTCAACCACCGCGCCCTCAGACTCGTGCTTGACGGCACACAGGTACGTAGTGCCATACTTACATGCATACTATTAAGTGCGCCATAAAGTACTCCTATATCATTACGTGAGCCATTACGTACACGTTCGTATAATATTATGTATATAATCACGTGCACGTATAACATAACGTAAATGTATACCATCGCGTGCATGTATAACATAACGTACACGTGCACCATTACGTCTAGTCGTGTTCGAGCTCATTCAGGTCCGTCCTAGTGGCACTCGATTATTACAGTTTTGAGCGTAACCGATCGGCAGTGACCTCCTGTAAAGACTCGTGATGCTCGCAGATATAAAATAAGGTGACTGTGAACTCTCTAGGATTCTATATGAATTTTCTTCAAGACAGTCTTGTTGGACAATGTTCTAATGTATCCTCAAATTGAAAAATTGTACCACTCTTACATAAATTAGTAAACGAAAAGTATTTCGATAGAATCTTGATGTTTTCTGATAATTGAATTCTTATTATAAGAGAACCTCGAACGAAGGAAAACTTGGTATTTCCTTGGGAACATATTCCACCTAACGGAACGTCCGCGTTTCTCGTTCAGGACGCGTTCCCTCTGCGGTTGTCCGGCCTGCACCTGCTAAACGCCCCCTGGTGGACGGGCACCGCCCTGCGCTTCGCCAGGCCATTTATTAAAGAAAAAACTCGAGGACGAGTGAGTCAAAGTGTGGGGGAGAAATTGTTCTGTTGTGTTATTTTCTTATTTTCTATTTTTACTCCTCATTGCGCAACACGGCAGCAAAGAGTACCTATACATTTTTTGAGCAACCATACTAAAATACGTATATTTTTCAACGTTCCTTCAATTTACGACGTTCCGTTTTTTCAGATCCACGTGCACGGTAACAATCTTTCTAGTCTCCACAAGCATCTGCCGCCTCGCCTGCTGCCTGCACAACTTGGGGGCGAAGGAGGCGAGTATAAACCTGCGAAGTGGGCCGATACTGTACTAGATTTAGCGGGAAAACCTTGCAAAATCATCACAAGGTCAAGGGAAAGCTCCTTGAAGGAGAAAGAACCTGATGAAAGAAACCTCCACGCCACTAACGTCGATGAGCCTGAAGATGCACAAAAGATTAAGAAAGAGGCATTAGACAGTAAAAATGAACAGGAAGAAAGTCTTACACAGAGAAGTACCTCCAATGAAGGCCACATTCCTCAAACCAAGAGATTCACGTTCGAAAATCTCATCAAATCGGGGGCGAAGAAATTTCAACTCGCACAGATGACCGAAGGTTCTGACGGCTTCACACTCAAAAAAATCAAGTCTCTCAGTGTGGACACCTCAGGCTACTCGCCGACTAGTAATTCTTCGAACAGCGTTTTTAATTTTGCCAGGTCAAAATCCATGCCCCTTTCAGCCGACGACGACGAAGATGAAGAGGATGAAGCAGATGAAAAGGAAGAAGAAGGGGAAAGCGTTTATAATTTTCCAAAACCAAGGCAACCGCAAAGCTTTTCGTCCACCATAACGAACACCTTGACGAACAACATGAACAGAATGGGGCTGAACATTCTGTCTCCAGACCGAGCGAGCTCATACGACAAGGGCCAGCCTAGTTCCCATCTTCTGCCGAACAATGACGCTGTCTTGCCCACGTGAAATCTTACGTGCATAAGTTTCTTTCGGTTTGCTTGCATATCTACTAGGGAGCTAGATCTAATGCCTTATATTAATATACTATTGATAGACTTGTCAGTCTAGCCACAAATTGTGTTGGCTCATCATAAATATATAAATCGAAGGTTTAGTCGTACGTTTACCACATAAGCGTACAGTAATGAAACCTAATACAAGTCTCGACTCCTACAATAGATCATCGAGATGCTAGAAACCATCACCTTAGTAGCCTCTTCTAGTCCGTGAACCATCGTGAGGCAAGAGTAAGTAAAACCTAAACATGCTGCGGTAAAAAGTTCCGCTGAACGCAGACTTATTCAGAGCACGAGGAAGCTAACTCTTAAGACGAGAAATCTTCAAACTTTGGACGAGCGTTAGTGCGTATTTATTTAACTTCAGTCATTCATATTACTAACAGAAATTTCTGTGATTGCAAGAGCCTTTGCTTTGAATACGAATCGTGTTCAGGCCATGTTTCACATTGTGGTGAATAATTACCATTTCATAGGTTTTAATGGAGTGAATAGCATTCATTTTTACGCACCCGAAAGGTTAGAACGTGCAGCAGCACTAGAAATTCGGAAATATATAATGACGTTTTTGTTAGGTGGTGGCAATGACTATTCAACTTGTAAGCTTTTCCTGAATCTTCCTCGAAGAAGGTTTACTTTCAGAATAAAAAAAAAAGGGAATCGCTGGTCTCCTCTGAATAGCAAATCCTACTTATGCCTGGCAAGGATAGCTTTCGCATCAACTTGCATAACTTATACTAAGGATAAAAGTCATTAGAGAATAGTAACTATGCGAACCGCCAGGCTAATCTATTGGCCTGTAAACTCGCCCAACAATAACTTCACCCTTGCTTCAGTTTCTCGCTTCTCAAGTTCTCGCATACCGCGCGCTTTCTTATACAAAGCAATGTTCCCACCATACTGTCGGGCACGTGCCAGTGAAATATATACTTAACATACTTTTTATACATGTACAGTAATGCACACCAGCCGTGCAAGGCAGTCCTGTCATGCCAGGCACGGCCCTGCCAAGATCAGGGCAAATGATATTTTGACCGGGACTCGACTGCAGCGTCGAAAACCATATCCATGGTTGAACTATATGTAAGGTTGACCCACGAGAAGTTCCGCCTTTCAGTTCAGCTTTCTTGTTGCGTCACTGAGATCTGGAAACGTAAACAAACCCGTCATTCCCATGACGGATTGGTTGACTGGTTTGAACGCATTTTGGTGATTGATTAATGACAATGACGTCACTGAGATCAGTAACGTCACGTGCGAACAAAAAGCTCCATCTGCTAAAATTAGCGTCTCATGGGTAAACCTTATACTAGTTCAACCATGCCTATACCAGTTGGCAATGCTGCGTGACTTGCATAGCACGTTATACGAAAGGAACTGACAGGAGTACGGCCCGTGAACGGACTGAACTTGTGAATGTACCAGGCAGGGAACGGACCGTGACTGGTATATGCCTGGCAAGTGCCCGTTGGTATGGCAGGAACCGAGCCTAATTCTGCCAGAGATTATCCGCCTCACCCAAACTGAACAGCAAGTGATGCATCACTTGCATTGCTAGGGATGGGCCGAATGTTTACGTCACATTAACGTTTATTGCGTCACTTGCAGGGTCTTGCCAATAATATAGCCGAAAGCGCTAATTGATTCGCTTCACCAATCAGTTCGATTAACTTCAGCAATCCCTTTTATTGGATTCAGCAATTTCTTACACGTGAAGGACGCAGAATGCCATTCTGCTCTAACCACCGTTCAAACAATGGTGGAGCATCCTGCTTACAGTCAGTTAGTAAATTTGTTACTTCTTAAAAAGTTGAAAATGTTTATAAAAATGTAAAATTTGTAAAATTATAATGCGTGCACATGTCCGTTCTTTCATTTCTAGAACAGAGTTAATGTACATGAGAATTTATGAAGAAGCATCCTGGCGAAATGTCAGTCTAACTAGACCGCAAGAGAACTGTCGGTGCCATTTTGACTTCTAAAAAAATGCTATTGCTAACAAGAATTTATTTCTTGGAGTTCATATGGACAACACAACTTTAAAAGGTCGGAAGAGCGGAAACTATTGTCGAATAATGCACTTGATAAGTAGATAATTCTTTACAAGTATCCAATTCTGTGCCTGATCAATCTACGAACATTTCAAAAGGAGTCTCGCTTCGAGCTTCACTCTCGACAAAGAGTTTAAATTACGGCGATCGAATTTCTCTAGGTACTAGTAGTTGCAAGAATATATTTATTATCTAGCTACACGAGTTTCTACCCCTCAAGAAACCAAACGACTAACGCTAATAGAAAAGGATATGAAATGAGTTAGACTTTGCCGAGTATTGCTTTAATTCTGCTACAGCAAAATACGGGGATTACCGCAGACTAGATACCAATAATTCTGACAGAACAATTAGATTCGAGATAAAGAACTTTAAACTCCACGAAGCGAAGAATTAACTTATCAGATGTAAACTTTTAATAAATCAACTATGGCATTAAAATGAAGGACAATATTTAAGGGCACTTATCCAATATGAACTTAACTTAGGCAGTTTTATGCACTATTATTATTACAGCCCTAAGTTGGGATCTTGACTTAACACATGAAATATTTGTTCGCAGTTATGTCAGTAAGACGTTGTTTTCAAGAAAAACTGAAAACGAGGAACAGCTAAGAATCCTCTAGTCGACGAAGACTCGAACCAACCTCGATAGTTTACTCCGCCTAAAGGGCTGTAACCACTCACATGTACAGATATTTTCCAAGTTAGTTCCTACCATTAGAAGGCTCTACTAAGCATTCCTGTGAATTTAACCAGCGTGCCTACAAATAGAGACAAAGAGCCTTGACTACGATCTCAGCTCACCACCAGATAGTCTAAGCAAGCGCGGATTTTACTGTGAATTTAATCAGCAGAAGAGATCATCAATTCAACTTAACACACGGGAATCACATTTGTATAAACAAAACCCCCCAAAATCCACGGTCGTGAGACTATTTTACGAGCATAGATTAGCTCGATATTTCGACTTAGTATTTCATTTGATCTCAAGTGTGCATAACACATAACATACAAAGATCCCAACACCGAGGTGCTACGTGCATGTTACAACAAACCTGCGTACCTGGGATGCTAGTTGCAATGCACTTTTATTTATTTGGCCTTGCCCTGCGCTGCCACAGACTCGATGGCTTTCCTGACGGTCTCCTCATCGCCCAAGAACTTCATGCTCACGACGGGCTTGAAGTTTTCGTCAAGCTCGTACACAAATGGGATGCCAGTAGGGAGGTTCAGGCCCATGATAGCTTCGTCCGACATTTCTGCAGCACAATAATTTCATCAGCACAACATAGCAAGCTCAAGATCAGACTTTTGATATCTTTTAAACTTGCCTTATGGAGTGAGAACTTACCTTGATCTATGGCCTTTTATCAACACAGAGACTTAGAAAATACTGCCATAAAATATGTGCTATGATTTACCTTTCACAAGGTGAATAAAGGAATTGCATTCTCTATACCGAGGGAGAAGATTGGCTAGTATAGTAGGGTTATAATACGCTTGTGACATACCCCTGTGCATGATCTTATAAACGACAGCATTAATTGCAATTTAACCTTATTCACCATCCCACATTATATTTCAGGAACTTTACGTGAGGAAAACTATGTAATACTCTCATTAGATCACACACAACAAGTAGCGTTAACTTAGAACAATCGAAGCCGCTATAGTTCAGTTTCTTCAACGTTCGTTGTTGATACTTGTCTTGGTAAAACTAACTCTTAAACTTTGCCCACCGTAATAATAGCAATAAATTCGGTTATCGCTCGGCCAGGCGAATGATTGTGGACAAGCCCTTGTCAAGAGAATGTGGTAGAATTAACGCGAGTTCTCGAAAATTAGAGAAAGGTTAATCATCATTAGTTTGCTCAAATCAAAAGTTAACAAAGAACTTAAAAGCATAGAATGTGCTAAGTAAATTCACAATATTTTCATGAAAGCATTTCGGAGATTAATTAAAAAATTTATACATGTATTTAACAAAATTAAATTATACATGTATTAAGCATCAATAGTCCAAAAAACTTCCTATTTAACTTTGATATATTTACTTTCTATTGTATTCGCTTTTACATTATTGGAGGAATTCTATAAGGAAAACTCTTGCAAATCCCCCCCAAAAAACTAGAATTAATGTTAAGAGCAGAGAAGTGAAGATCACATGAAATTTGTTTCATCTCCCGTTTGCAAGCATATATTATGCAAGATAAGAAAACTCGGCACTGCAAAGCGAACCCTAAATCAAAATAATCAGATTATGTTGTACAGAATACTACGTAGTACAAAAGGAGTAGAGGAAATGCTGCTCTAACGTCTCACCATCGAGATGCTTGACGATGCCACGCAGAGAGTTACCATGGGCGGCGATGAGGATCTTCTTGCCTTCCTTGAGCTGCGGCACGATCGTGTCATTCCAGTACGGCAGAGTGCGCGCAATGGTCCTGCACGAAAGAAATAATCTCAATGAACGAAATCCGGTTTAAATTCATACTTTACTATGACCTACAATCAGGAATTAGTTCAAGTCCAGCCGTCGTGACAGCCGTGAGAAGTACACACAAGTGGAGCGACTTGTTACAGCAACCATAGCACATGATCATCACCAACAAACTTATGCGGGATATTGAAAATCTATATCTTCCTTCCGAAAACTATCCAAGTGAAAATAATGAACACTTACAACTTGAGTGATTCAAACATAGGAAATTCGGCCTTGGAAGGTCCGTTGGCATAGCGTGGGTCCTCGACAATGATCTTGTAATATTCGCTGCTCTCCTCCATAGGAGGCGGGGGAATGTCGAAGCTGCGACGCCAGATCTGAACCTGAATACACGCAAAAAAAAATTAACCCAACAGCATATTATAAACAAATAAAATCTGAATGTAGTTGGAAAGAACTAGTCGTGACTGTTTAGATGAAATTAGCAGAATGTGTTCCGTTACTACCAAAATGAAGCCCTGACAATTAGGAAACAATATAGGTACGTGTTATACTGCTGAAAAATCAAAGTTTCAAGCGATAGAGTGAAATTTATTCTAATTGAAAATTCCAAGATAATATAGGTTTAGTACTAGTAAAATAGATATAGAAATCTGAAAATTTGTTCATTAATGCTCGGACAGGTGGCATAGTGGTTAAGAGCACCAAGATTTGTACAGAAAGTTATAGGTTTAAAGAACCACAGCCAACAGTGAAATTTCTATTCAAAATTATGAGGTGACTGGAGGACTAGGCACCTAGGCACCGTAAGATTAGAATAGTGAAAAGCATGTTCGAGACCTGCAATAAGCTTTCAAAATTCTGTTATTTGCAAAATCTACCTACATCCAGCCAAATCTTCAATGCTGGCAAAATAAAAGAATAGAGAGAAAGAAGGAACAGCAGGCAGCTAAAATTGAGATATTGCCACGACAAATTCACTACCAACCTGCTCCTCTCCGTGCTTGGCTGCCGTTTCGGCCTTGTTGAGGCCAGTGAGCCCTCCGTAGTGACGCTCATTCAGTCTCCATGTCTTTTGAATAGGAATGTCTGTCTGGCCAATTTCCTTAAGGATAGCATCAAGGGTCTTGTTGGCTCGGGTCAACACAGAAGTGTGTGCAATATCAAACTTGTAACCAGCTTCTCTCAAAGCCACTCCAGCTGCCTTAGCTTCATTACGACCTGCAAAATAGTTTGAATTAAATTATGAACTGAAATTTTGGGTTTGAGGTAGCATCCATTAATAACACAAGCTAATAAATATATCTGAAGCTGAAATAACCTAAACAACTTTTTTACATAGTACTTGGCACACTTCAAATCCACCATGCACGCATTGGCACTTTCTGCATGAATGTGAATCAATATACAAACAGAAATGAGCAACTCACAACAAATATCCTTTGTTTGGGAAAACTTTCTGTGTCACAAAATGAAAAAGCTCTAAAACTAAAGTTGTTGAATAGAAAACATGTTTTCAGTCTGACCTAAGAGCACAGAATAGTGAATAATTCTTCGTTAGAATGGCTAAGCAATGTCAGCCAACTTGCAGAGAGAACAATTTCTGCAAAGGAATTGCTGCTTGTCTATGGGTATAATTTCCCCATCCCATATAATTTGCTTTCATCCACTGTGGAAGCAATATTACAAGACCCCAAAATTTCATGATGGTCTAAATTTAGAAAGTTTTACCTTTTTACTGCAATATTGCAGCTCCAATGTCATTATGGGTAAATTTTAAGTTTTATGTCTCAATCAAGCAGTGTAAATAGACTTTAAAGTTTTAATATTTCTTAATCCAAGAGTACACTCAAGTATTTTCAACTGATTCACTGATGGCTTTGACTCAATCTTACAATGTGGCATTGGCATGGAAGAATATCTTTTACTAGAAACAGTAGGAAGTTCAGCCCATTGGATACAAAATGCTGACTTAATGGAGGAAAACTTATAAAAAAACAAATTTGGATACTTGACCTGGTAGTTTTCAATTTTATAGTTTACTGTAGGCAAGTCTATGGTCAGAGACACCTACTGGATTTAACTTGCTTCTTTAAAAAAAAGTATTATTAATGCTGGTCAAATTGATCAGCAAAGAAAATTGTGCAGAGCTGCTTAGATGGCACTAGGAAGCATAGTGGCAAACAAGTTTTCTTTCTTTCTGAGTGCTATGAGTAGACTAGTGAAGAATTATAAAAGCCACTTTCATCATTGACAAGATTCCATTTAATATTCAGGGTTATTCTAAATGATAGACCTAATTTAATAAATTTGTACTTGTACTATATAAATCCAAAATGTCAATGCTGGAGAGCAAAAATTAGGCAGAATTTTGCAAAATTCACAGGCAAAAATTTCAGTTCATTGATAATTTTTTTTTGAAATTGTAGAGTAAATACAAGCCATTCTTCCTATTTCTTAATAGACAAATAATTCAAGGGCTGTAGAAGTGGGTACATACAATTAACCACAAGCATTGGCATTTTTGACTCTCATTCAAGATTGGCTTTTGCATGATTTTTCAATCTGGCTTGAGAGTTCAGAAGCAATTCAGTAAATAGAATAGAGATTTGATCAGAGGCTGGCAGTAAGTCTGATTTGATCAGATGCTGGCAGTAAGTCTGATTTGATCAGATGCTGGCAGTAAGTCTTGTATTGACTAATGTGTCATTGAATGTGCACTATTTAGTAAAATTAAAAATAATGCACATTATCTGTGCTTGCTTCAGAATTCTAGCTCAATTATAATTTAAGCAACTCTATGATATGTGGTATATAGAAAAAAAATACGATAGAATCAATGATGAACACATAGGTAGTGCTTATTTAATCAACAGCAATCTCTCCAGACCAGATAAGTTATAGAATCTAGCTACTTTTTAGGCACTGACTAGAGCATCCCCACCAGTTTAGGAGCCACGAGATTCTTTTAACCTTCAATCAGTTTAATGCACAGTGTCAAAACACAGGTTTCTTAGAATCTGTTCATTTTTAATCTCATTTAGATGTTTTTTAACACAGTATCTCTTAATCCATGAGTACACTTAAGTATTTTTAACCGATCCACTGATGGCTTTGGCTCAATCTTCCAATGCGGCATTGGCATGGAAGAATATCTTTTACTAGAAACAGTAGGAAGTTCAGCCCATTGGATACAAAATGCTGACTTAATGGAGGAAAACTTATAAAAAAACAAATTTGGATACTTGACCTGGTAGTTTTCAATTTTATAGTTTACTGTAGGCAAGTCTATGGTCAGAGACACCTACTGGATTTAACTTGCTTCTTTAAAAAAAAGTATTATTAATGCTGGTCAAATTGATCAGCAAAGAAAATTGTGCAGAGCTGCTTAGATGGCACTAGGAAGCATAGTGGCAAACAAGTTTTCTTTCTTTCTGAGTGCTATGAGTAGACTAGTGAAGAATTATAAAAGCCACTTTCATCATTGACAAGATTCCATTTAATATTCAGGGTTATTCTAAATGATAGACCTAATTTAATAAATTTGTACTTGTACTATATAAATCCAAAATGTCAATGCTGGAGAGCAAAAATTAGGCAGAATTTTGCAAAATTCACAGGCAAAAATTTCAGTTCATTGATAATTTTTTTTTGAAATTGTAGAGTAAATACAAGCCATTCTTCCTATTTCTTAATAGACAAATAATTCAAGGGCTGTAGAAGTGGGTACATACAATTAACCACAAGCATTGGCATTTTTGACTCTCATTCAAGATTGGCTTTTGCATGATTTTTCAATCTGGCTTGAGAGTTCAGAAGCAATTCAGTAAATAGAATAGAGATTTGATCAGAGGCTGGCAGTAAGTCTGATTTGATCAGATGCTGGCAGTAAGTCTGATTTGATCAGATGCTGGCAGTAAGTCTTGTATTGACTAATGTGTCATTGAATGTGCACTATTTAGTAAAATTAAAAATAATGCACATTATCTGTGCTTGCTTCAGAATTCTAGCTCAATTATAATTTAAGCAACTCTATGATATGTGGTATATAGAAAAAAAATACGATAGAATCAATGATGAACACATAGGTAGTGCTTATTTAATCAACAGCAATCTCTCCAGACCAGATAAGTTATAGAATCTAGCTACTTTTTAGGCACTGACTAGAGCATCCCCACCAGTTTAGGAGCCACGAGATTCTTTTAACCTTCAATCAGTTTAATGCACAGTGTCAAAACACAGGTTTCTTAGAATCTGTTCATTTTTAATCTCATCCACTCAAGATTGAAAGTTGAAACTAACATCTTAAGTATGAAAATGCTGATATCCATGATACTTTACTGGTTTACTTATAGGACACAAAAATGAATTATAGAAAGAGTAAAAAAAGTCTCTTTTTGACACTGTGCTTCAATGTCACTAACAGCATATTATTTGAAACCCTGAATATTTTAATTCTTATAAGTATCATGCAGTTCTTATTGACCAGGTCAATGACCAGCATCCAGCACCAAGTTAAAAGCAGTTGCTGCTGTGCTGAATGGCTAGTTGATAGGCAAATATTAGGCTTTGAATTTATTTGCCTCACAGCCACTGTGCCACAACTCACAACTGGAGCTTTTCTGCCATTTTCAGAACGAAAAGAATCCCAATTATCCCATTAGATGAATTTCCTCCTAAACGACCTAATGTATTATTAATAAATGTACATTGAACAGGCTGTGAGAATCCAAGTATTTTAAAAAATTTTAACTATGGGGCAATCGCAATGAGATTATTGTACTAAGTAGTAAGCAGGAAAATTCTAATCCTAATTTAAACAAATTACCTCCTAACCAACTGTAGAGTGTGAACAAATGTGCACAAGGCAATGAAATACAAAATATAGCTACCTATAAAAAATCTAGGGTAAACGCAGTATATTCCGACATCGTGGGTAATTCCGTCACCTCTTTAGTTTTTCCTTCATATTAGTTTATAGTTTTTCCTCTTTAGTTTTTCCTTTGTTTTAGTTCCATGCGTTCGTTGATGGTTGAAATGGTGGCGTCATACATTTGCATGTCAAACTACTGCCAAAACACTAGGTCTTGGCCATCTAGCAGGAAAATATTGAGATCCAAAGAGAGACGATGCATGCTACCCAGTGAGATCATCAAAAAATGTGTCAAATTTGACAGTTAACCTTGCTCTACCAAATAGTGAATAACTGTTTCAGTCTGTTTGTATAGGAAGAATATTATGGTTTGAGACTTTTAAATACATCTGTGAATATATTAGACATCCTTTAAGTATACTTGTATTCGCTGATTTCAAGTGGTAAATAAATTAATAGATGATTAAGTTGAGAAATGGATTTAGACACATGAAAACTAATTCCGTCACAACTTGAATTGGACACACAC